CCAAAAAAAATCCTGGAAAACCCAAAAAAAATCCTGGAAAACTTTTGAAAAACTGCGGAAAAACCCAAAAAAATTTTCAGAAAATCTTTGGAAAACCCTTGGAAAACTTCTGGAAAATTCCAGAAATTCTGGGAAAACTTTGGAAAATCCTGAAAAATCTTTGGAAAACGCTGGAAAACCTTCAAAAAACCACAGAAAACCTTTGAAAAATCCGAGAAAATTTTTGGAAAATCCTGGAAAAGCTTCAAAAAATTCTGGAAAACCTTGGGAAAATAATGGAAAACCTTGGGAAAATCCAAGAAAATTTCAGAATATCCTGACAAAACCCAAGAAAATCTTTGGAAAACCTTCAAAAAACCACGGAAAACCTTTGGAAAATCATGGAAAACCTTCGAAAAATCCCAGAAAATTTTTGGAAAATCCTGGAAAACCTTGGGAAAACCACAGAAAACCTTGGGAAAATCCCAGAAAACCTTGGGAAAATCCAAGAAATTTTCAGAATATCCTGACAAAACGCAACCAAACCTCGAAAAAAGCTTTGGGAAATCCAAGAAAATCCTGGAAAACCTTGGGAAAATCATGGAAAAACTTGGGAAAATCTTGGAAAACCTTGGGAAAATCATGGAAAACCTTCGAAAAACCACAGAAAACCTTGGGAAAATCATGGAAAACCTTCGAAAAATCCCAGAGAATTTTTGGAAAATCCTGGAAAAGCTTCAAAAAAATCCTGGAAAACTTTCAAAAAACCACAGAAAACCTTGGGAAAATCGTGGAAAACCTTTGGAAAATCCTGGAAAACCTTCAAAAAATTCTAGAAAACTTTTGGAAAATAATGGGAAATCTTGGGAAAATCCAACAAAATTTCAGAATATCCTGACAAGACCCAACCAAACCTTGACAAAACCCAAGAAAATCTTTGGAAAAGCCCCGAAAAACCATGGAAAACCTTTGGAAAATCATGGAAAACCTTCCAAAAATCCCAGAAAATTTTTGGAAAATCCTAGAAAAGCTTCGAAAAACCACAGAAAACCTTTGGAGAACCCCAGAAAACCTTGGGAAAACCCAAGAAATTTTCATAATATCCTGACAAAACCCAACCAAACCTCGACAAAACCTTTGGGAAATCCAAGAAAATCCTGGAAAACCTTCGGAAAATCATGGAAAAACTTGGGAAAACCCCAGAAAACCTTGGGAAAATCCAACAAAATTTCAGAATATCCTGACAAAACCCAACCAAACCTTGACAAAACCCAACCAAACCTTGACAAAACCTTTTGAAAACCCCATAAACCCTTGGGAAAATCGTGAATTCCAGGATTTTGGAACGTCCCCGTACCGGTGTATCCGATCTTCTCGAAGCTGAGCAGGCTGAAGATGCTGTTGTAGAGCTGCATCTCCTTGAGGCGGCTCTGGTCCATCTCGTCCAGGATCTCCATGAGCTCGTTGCCCGTCTTGGTGGGATGGGAACACTCGGCCTCGTGAACGGAGAGCTCGTGGAAAGGGCCCTGCCAGGGACACCCGATGCGCTTGTACTTGCACTGAGTCACCCTGGGGGGAGA